TAAATGGACACAACTAGAGACCACACTCATAAGTGAAATAAATCAGACCTGCATGTGTAAACACCACATTGTCTCACTAGAGTAAGAAATTGAGGGAGTGAAGGAAGTCACAGGACATTGTGAAGACAAAGGAAATTGCTCAAGGGGGGGAGCAGCTTGGATGAAGAAAAAGAGAAAAGAAAGAAATAAAGGAAAGATATGTACATAGGTATCCAAACAGTCTTATACACTAAATCTTCCAAGCATTTGGGACACTCTGTTTCAGGGATAAAGGATCTAATCTAATCTAATCTAATATGTTCTTAATTTTAGAGATGAAGAAACAGTACATGGAGAATTGACATACATTGTCTAAAGACATGTAGCTGCTGTATAACAAAGGAAGAATTCAAACACAATGGTCTTATTATACAGTTCTAACTCTTCATTATTATGTCTCTGGTGTGCTTAAAGTCATTGGCCAGAATTTCTGAATTGCTCATTATCCATTTCTTCCTGGCGTGGTCTAGTAGTATAAGTAGCTGACACATTAAGGAAAAGATGTTTCTCTAGAGATGAGTCTCCGTAGAGCCCCTATCTGTGCTTCTCAAGCTATAAAGAAAGGGGTTCATCACTGGGGTGACAACAGCGTACATCACTGAAGCTATTGCACTCTTCCTGGAGGAATGGGCAGCTGCAGACCTGAGGTACACTCCAAAACCTGTCCCATAGAACAAGGAAGCTACAATTAAGTGTAACCCACAGAGGGAAAAAGCTTTATACTTTCCACCAGATGATGGAGTTTTCAGGACAGAGGACACAATTTGAGTGTAAGAGAAAAGTATCCCAGAGAGAGGGATAACACCCAACAGACCTGTCATCAAATACACCAGGCTGTTATTAATGAGGATCTCAGAACAGGCAAGCTTGAGACTACAGCCAATTCACAGAAAAAGTGGGGAATTTCCAGGTTGGTGCACAAATACAGCTGCAGTGCCATCAGAGTGTGCAGCAGGGCATCTAACACACTGATGAGGAAGGAAAGCAGCACCAGCAGCCAGCAGAGTTTGTTGCTCATGATGACATTGTACCTTAGGGGGCGACAGATGGCCACAAAGTGGTCATATGCCATGCTTACTAGAATTCCATTTTCTAATCCAAGAAAAACCAAGACAAACCAGATCTGAATGAGGCAGCCTGTGTAACTGATGGATTTACTGTGCACTTGGATGCTCACCAGCATCTTGGGCATGATGGTTGTGGTGAAGCAGATGTCCACAAAGGACAGGTTGGAGAGGAGGAAGTACACGGGAGTGTGCAGGTGGGAGTCGCGGATGATGATAAGGATGATGATGAGGTTCCCAAGCACTGTGGCCGTGTGTACGGACAAGAAGAGTGCAAAGAGTACAGGCTGCAGGTCTGGATCTTCCGAGAGTCCCAGGAGGAGTTCTGCAGTTTCTGAGAAGTTTCTTAGTTTCATTTTGTTCATGAATCTGAGATAAAAGATGGGAGTGATAAGGAAACGCAAATTAATGGAATCCTCCTTGACCTCGTCTATATTTTGAGACATCAGCTGCAGAATTTTCCTCCTGTTTATCGTTTTCCACTCTCCTTCCCTCATCTGTTGTTGCCCTCCATACTTCTATCCAAAGTTTTTCTTTCTTTATTTTCATATCTAATCTACACAAAGTAACTGCACATACATATGGGATATGAAAGTTTGTTTTGAACAATGTATACATTGTATAATTATCAAAATATTCACCTTGATAAAATGAGTTAACCAGGAATGTAGCACATCTACCAAATCATACCTTTATACGTTCTCTTTGCAGTGAGCATTTCAAAACCCTCTCTTCCAGCTATTTTAAAATGCATAGTTAACATCTGTTAACTATAACAACAACAATCTTATTTTCCACCTGTTCTATTTCAAGGAGAGTCACTTGTGAAGCATAAAATGCAAAGGTAAAAGCATCTTCTCTCTTAGCATGTATTCACAAATATAATTTTAGAAAAATATTGTTAAGGCTGTATATAAAAGTTTGGAGGCCAGATGTGTGGTGAACACCTGCAATTCCAGCACTCTGGAGGCTGAGGTATGTGAGATCAAGGCCAGCCTGGGCTACAGAGTGAGTTCAAGGCCAGCCTGGATTGCATAGTGAGACCCTGCCTCAAAAAGACAAAAAAGAAAAAAGTTTGGGAAGAGCTGGGTATGGTGGCACATGCCTGTAATCCCACAATTCCAGAGGCTGAATCAGAAGAATCACAGTGAGTTCAAAGCCAACTTGGGTTATATAGTGAGTTCAAGGTCAGCCAGAACTACATAGCGAGGCCCTGTTTAGGAAAACACAGGTGAAATCCCACCTGCCTGAATTTGTAAGTAAGGTTTATTGGAGCATGTCCACTGCTACGTATTGTCGATAGTTGTTTCTGGACTACAAAAGTACAGGTCGGCACTTGTCACAAAAACAAAATGGCTGCAAAACCCAAACTCTTTATGTGTCTTTTCACTGAAAATTTCTGACTCCTTATTGTCCAGAAAATCACTTAGACTTAGCTTCATTTTTTTCCTAAGTATCCTCCAGTACTTTCAAGTGCAAATGCATGTTATCGGCCTGTCTGCTTCTAGGAATAATTATTGCATGCACCCATTGTTACATCGACAGTAAAAATGCTAACCCTTGACCACAGAAGTACAGGTTGAAAAGAGAGAGAAGTGAATAAGTACTTGCAAAAAATGTAAATATTAATAAGAGTCTATATAATTGATCTCCATAGATAGATTTAGAGAAATCCATTTGCTCTTTACTTTTTGGAGGTATCCCTTTTTCGTACTTTTTCCTGCAATTTTCCCTTCCTCACTGTAATTTGTGCTGATAAATATCCCTTTTACCAATATTACAAGTCCCTCCCCCTTTGTATTCATCTTAACCTAGGTCTTTCATGTACACACAATTAGGAAAGGAAATATTAGGAATCGACCCTCCATCAGATCCTCCCTCCTATCATTTCTGGTTCAGGTAGGATGGAGACTCAGCTCTGGTCCCTGGAGAAGTCCTTGTGGACCACCCCGGCTAGTGTTTCAGGTCTCTTCTATATGCTGAGGATCTTCTGGATTCACAAGAAAAGGATCTTGGAGCCCCGGAATAGACAATGAGGAATTGGTTTGATGTAGGCCACTTGCGATGTATCTTGTCACCCCTCATAGCATCTTTACTAGAGCTTATGAGTAAATATATAGGTTGAAAAACTCACAACTTGATGAGGAGTGACAAGGAAAACACTGGCCCATTTCTAGGACTTTCTCAAAATTTTTCTGGAAATTGTTAGTGAGTTTGAAGTCACATCAGAAGGGAAGATTGATAAATAAGATCAGACTTTGCTAAATGGAAATAGCATAGCAATGCTCGTCCTTGGAGAAGATCCTGAAGTACTGCTGGACTTACTTATGCTAGACTCTGATTTGCCTTATACTGAATACAAAAGAAAAGTTTTGAATTTTAATGTTAAAATCTTACAAAGGTAAGATTTTGATTACGGGAAATGCTTTAAAGATTGCCGGGCATGGTGTAATCATGGTGCCGGGCACACCTGTAATCCCAGCACTCAGGAGGCTGAGGCAGGAGGATTGCTGTGAGTTTGAGGCCAGCCTGAGCTACAAAGTGAGTTCAAGGCCAGCAGGAACTGAATAGCGAGACCCTGTATTGAAAAGACAAAAAAATAAAAAATAAAAATAAATAAAAAATAAAGATGTATTATATGCTCACTTCTGTAAATGAACCACGTTTACTTTGGAAAAAGAAGAAAATTATTTTTTGTTAAATACTTAAAAACTGTTTTTTATCCATGGTACATGCTATCAATGTCAAAGCATCTGCTTCCTGGTCTTACTAACCAATAATTAATTTCCATAACGATGTCCCAGGAGTTGGAATAAAGTATCATAGTACCACCATGGGTGCCGTGGGATGATAAAGACAGCATAACTAATCTATTTTTTCAGTACTTCATGCATGCTAGGCAAGTGCTCTACTATGGAACTACATCCCCAGACCTTTTTGATTTCTAATTTGAAACAGGGCCTTGCAAAGTTGCCCACCCTGGCCTCAAACTTGCTATCCTCCTACTTCTGTGTCTTCTGTGGCTGGGATAATGGCATGAGCCACCATGCCTCACTAGCCCTCTACATCAAACATGGAGGGCCTGGAGGATGACAAGAGTGAGGACAGAAAACACCTGAACATGAGACTTGGGCTCAGACAGGGCAGATCCAGTCGTGAGTTCCCCAGGTGTAATAAGGATCTGTGACATGGGCATGAGGGTTATAAATAAAATCATACTGTATTTTTGTTTCAGTGACTATAATTTTTCAGGCAAATATGGCATTTCCTATGTGGCTTAATATTGATTTAAGTCATGATATGTTAATTTTAACACACATTCTTGCATCAGTGGGAATTTGCATTTGCTACAAATTATCTTTCTATACTACATTCACATGTAACAACAGTGTTACACTAAACATAGTGAGTTTTACTGAAAGTCCAGAGTGGTGGCAACTGGAAAGTCAGGAAAGGCATGAAGTAATAGGATGCAGAACACTCTTTGTCTCTGTGTGTAATCCATCATTATTTTTAAATGGGAGTTATTAATCAATTTTTTATAAAGTGTTTTGAAGCTACTTGACAATTAATGATTAAATGTAGAAGGTGGGTTCCTATTCATGTTTTTCTGCTCACTGTACATTTTGGTTGTTTTAATACATTTCAGAATATTTTGTTTGGAATTCTAAAAGACGAAGAGTGAGAAGGTACCCATTGGGCTTGCCCAGACTCACCCTTCTTTTCTGGCACCCTCTCAGTCAACTGAGTCAATATCACTGTCCTGTTTAACCCAAAAGAGCTGGAGGAAATTAACAATTTTTCAACTCAAAAGAATTATAAATGTAGGAAGCGATGAGTACTCTAATTATCCAAATTTGTAACATAATGATTACATGTACAGAATTTTTAACTTGTAAGCCATGCATATACACCATTGTTATACACAATAGAAATATTTCTTTAAAAAGGAATAAAACTTGAGTGCTGGAAGGGTGAAATCTGGAATCCAAATGGTTAAATTGAAAACTTACTCCATCTCTTTCTTATTCTTTTCCATCAGCTTCAGCAGCAGTCAAATGAGTGAAAGAAGACAGAGAATTACAAAATATATTCTGAAGGGTCTGATTCATACTCTGGAGAAAAGGATCTCGAATTCACAAGACAGAGCAAGA